TGTCCATGTTTCTTCGGACATGGAACACGGAACCTTACACGCTCTCTGATTTACTGTTTAATAGAGATTCACAAATAAGCTTATGATTGTATACGTTATCAAAAAGGCAGTGACAAAGTCAATTTTGCATTTTAATCACAGAGATTAGATCTTAGTGAGATAGGAAAGATATTCATATTTTAAAGAAGGATTTTTGAACCATCGCTCTCCCTATCGATAGAAACTAACTTTTTTTTTGTTATTATTAACAAGCTTAGGTATACACAGTAATGTGCTGCTACCCTATTCTATATGAAAGATTACACAGTGTATATCAAAAACTAGCTAAAAGTTCATTAAATATTCCCATCTCACAGGATGGTTAGTTATACATGGAATCAAGGGATAAAATACCAGCCTCAATAAAAAAAAATCAACTGTGACTAACAAGAACACCACTTACGGGCTATTCATGCCCGTGCTACCTTTTGGGTGGCTTAATCCTCATCAATCAATCACAAGAAACAAGGGATACATCTCCCGTCACGCAGGGTCCAGTCGCACCTCCACAGATCTCCAGTATCATCTATTGATACTGTTAATGGTTCAAGAGGACTGCACTTACGGGCCTACCTCAAGGTAACAATCAGGTGAGAACATAAAATATAAGGCTGATCTATTAGCCTCCGTTAGCAAAATCCGGGTACAGCATAAGAATATCTTCCAATATTCCTAAGTGTATGAATTAATTACAGAGTTCAAAGTACCTTATACCATTTGGTCTGAAGTCACTTATAACAGGGCAATCACAGATATACTGCTGTCAAAACATAGATGGCGCCAGGACAAACGGTAATTCCTATGGACTCGCCTAGTTATGCGTAGGGAATTGAGCTTCAGCTGTTTGGTCCCGCCCCTCAGCTGTATTCACCTAGTTGTACTCACCTAATTTGTGCTTGCAGGGGTTGACCTTTGGTTCTTTGGTCCCGACTCTCAACCGTCAATCAACAGGTGTACAGGTTCCTGAGCCTATTGGGCTCTATCACATCTACATTTGAAATTGTGTATGGAGTCAGCCTCCACCACATCACTGCTTAATACATTCCAGTTGTTAACTACTCTGACACTGAAAAAATTCTCTCTAATATCTCTGTGGCTCATTTGGGTACTAAGTTCCCCTTGTTCGTGTTCCACCCGTGTTAAAGAGCTGTCTTTGTAACTATCAAAATGCATATATCTTTGCTTTCACTTCAGTTATATTTATGACAAGGGATTTAAAATTTGCCTATATTTCTGCTTCTCTGATGACATTAAAAACTTTCGTTTATTACAGTATCTACATAAAATTAACATTTATCTTCATTAGGTTGTAGTTCTCATCAACAGGGAGAGCGTCGGTAAAAAAAAAAAAATTGTTTAAATATAAATATCTTTCCTCTCTCAATAATATGCCCGAAACGCTATGCGTACTAGTGGCTTTAGGTATTGTATGTACTAGCTCTATCTATAAATCCAATATTATGTTTGTAAATCGACTATTTATGTACTTTCCTGAATAAAATGAACTTTACTTTACTAATAACTAATCTCTGTGACTAACACGTAAGAACGACTTTATCTATGCCTTTTTGATAACATATACAATTATAAGCTTTATTAGTGAATCTCTATTAATTAAACAATATATCAGAGAGTGTGTAAGGTTCGGTGTTCCATGTGCGAAGAGACATGGGAGATTTTACATCAGTACAGTAAATGTTTTAAGTAGCGAACGCATACTAACGAATAACGATTAGTATAGACCAACACTATTGTTCTATGAAGTCGATTTAACTTCCAGACATGTATTTTTCAATAAGCCTTAAATATTTTCTGGCTCGTTATGTTAGATATTATTAGAAATACGTATTCTACTAGTTAATATAATAAACTAAATTTGCGATCATTTAAGGAGAGAAGTGCGACGACTGGATCACTGTGTACAGAAGGTTGATATGCCAACAAACACTTTCCAGACAACAATATATCTTGGATAAGTCGCTCCACAACATTGACACCTGGACCGTTGATTTCCTATGAGGCCACATATTTACTTATTTCATAATGGAAGTATATTATTTTATAGTAAATATATGTTTTCTCGTGTTCTGCATTAAGCACCAACATTATAGTGAATAAATATACCATATTTCTTCATTATTTAAGTAATGCTAGGAGGCTTTGAGTAGCTTTGGGTCATTAGGTGAACAAAATCTCCAATAGATGGGGCGAGAGTCGCGCTATCTCTCGCCCGAGCGAGATCGAGTCGAAACTTATTTTAGAATTGATATATCTTTGTCCTCCAACAAGATATATTTCCTTTGGTGCACTCACAATAACGAGCATGTCTCTGTCTTTCTGAAGGCATATAATATTTTAGGCTTTATAAGCGTATCTTTGTTAATTACACACTATATTGGCAAGTGCGTAGGCTTCTGCATTCCATGACCGACAAGCTACTGAATGCCACTTTAAAAACGTATGTATCTTCACTTGAGCTTTATATATGTCTATGTTAAAGTATTTAAAATGAAGCTTATATTTCTATCTTTCTTGAGACACATAAAACATATGTGTTTATTAACGAATTTACGTGAAATAAGCATTGTTCTGAGAGAGAGTTACTCCGTTGCTCGATCTGTGCGGGATCGGAGCTCGCCGATTAGAAAAATACACGTATCTTCGCTTTAAATACAAATATGCCCATGGTAATGCATTTAAAATGAAGATTATGTTTCTATCTTTCTTGAGACGTATAAAAATCTTACGTTTATTAACGATTCTGCGTGAAATAAGCATTGTTCTGAGATGAATATTGCGGATTTCCGGCTCTACGACCGATGAAAAATGCAACTTTTATACAACTACAAATATCTTTAGTTTTACTTTAAATTTTGTCCTCAACACTAAAGTGGGTCCTTGGTTGTTAAACGATTTTTCGAAGGGTCGTATTCCAGGGAACATAGGATTAAGGACTTGCCTGAAACGCTACGCGTACTAGTGGCTGTACAAGACTGTAAGAACTCGTTGACCAGACCACACACTAGAAGGTGAAGGGACAACTACATTTCGGTCCGTCCTGGACGGACCTCAAGTCGATTGTGGTGAGGGAAGGAGATGAAGGCAATAAATAGGCGAGAGAGAGGAAGGCAAAAGGTACGAAAGATAAGGTGTAGAGAGGATAGTAGTAGGAATAAGAACTGCAGAAGGCCCATTGGCCCATACGAGGCAGCTCCTATTTATAACCACCCAAAGAGAAGGGGATAGTAATAGGAATAAGAAGAGGATAGCAAGGGAATGTAAGAGAAAACAATGGGAAGAAAAAGGAAAGAGAAAGAAAGATAAATGGAAGGGTAAGTTTATGTTAATCACATCTGTTAAAAAGATTAGAGCATTTGAGTGTATACTCTGAAAGGGAAGAGTCAACAGCAACAAAGCTAGGACTCAAGTTCATGTTGAGTACGTTGTGTATTAGAGCCGATTCAACAAGACGACGTCTGTGTAGAGTAGAGGCAGGAAAGATTATTTTGGAGGAAGACCAATCAATCGGATTAGAGTCCCTCACATGACAGAAGAGAGCATTGTTTGTGTCTGCAGACTTAACACTTCTTTTGTGTTCTTTAAGTCTGTCACAAAGTGTACGGCCAGTTTTGCCAAAGTATTGGAGAGGACAAGACGAACAGGAAATAGAGTAGACACCAGCAGCATTAGAAGCAGGAGGAGCAATGTGAACTAGATTGCAACGAAGTGTGTTAGTTTGTCGAAAGGCGAGCGTTATGTCAGAAACATTATTTCTTGTTTTTCAGTTTTTACAAGTACTGTACATTGGGTTGAGAGTACATAACATTGGTGTTTTTACATTCTTGCAAAGCCACTAACATGCATAGCATTTCGGGCAGGTCCTTAACCTAACAGATAAAAGTAAGAATAATTAGAAGGTAAATTGTAGCACAAATTGATTTCAACATAATAACTACAATAAAAATTGATCAGGTTCATTATACTGGTGGTGATACATATCTTGAATACTAAAACTGGCTGAGTGGGCAAGATACAAACTTGCACTGAATCACAAAATACAGTGTGAGTTTGAAGCACACGGTAGGAAACTATGAGGAGGTAATTAGGTCATTTTTTATTTTGCTTTTGAATAAAGAATAGGTTGGACAGTTTTTTTAATTCATTAGGAAGCGAGTTCCATATACTGGGTCTTTTTATTTGCATGGAGTGTTTGCGCAGATTTAGTCTGACTCTAGGGATATCAAAGATGTATTTGTCTGGTGTGGTGCTCATGGCCTTTACTCCAGTTTACATCTATTAAAGAAAGAGTTTCAGCATGGGACTAGCACCTAGAAGGAAAGTTTTTTTATACAATGAACAAATAACACAAGAAAATGTGTAGTGTATGGTCAGCATGTTTAGGGATTTAAACAGAGGGGTTGTGTGTGTTGTCTGAAGACAGAGTTTGTTCCTCATAGGCTGTATGGAATTATAGCTACTAGTTCTTACTATTAGAAAAAGACTATTTTGGTTCAGTAGCTACATCTTAAGCTTTTTTTCAGTAAATGCTTCAGTTGTGTATACATAGTAAAGGTTACTGGAGGTTACAGGACACCATTTCTAAATTCTCTGTCCATCCAAACACTCGCGTCTCTTCCTTACATTATTGGTGACCATGTATGCAAAGATGTACCTCTACAAAATTCGAATTTTGGGGGGAATTTCTGAGGGCCTGGGAGGATCAATTATAGCAGTGAAGATGTTAGTGATCAAGATCATGTGTAGTGTAGATGTGCCCCTGTTTTTCTCCTGAACAATGCTGGGTATACCTGTCGATGATTTCGAGGATCGACATCCCCAAGGCCCAGAGTCTAGCCAGGCCTTGGCTAGTTATGATTATATTTTATCAAATCTAAATTCAAATGTTAAATTTATTTAAAAATATAGGTGCCAAAGCATATCTGGAGTAAAGGAAACACCAATTTTTCAATGTGTTTTATTAAACATGATAAAGCTCTATTTTAAGATACATAATGTGAGAATATAACAGAATTGAGAATGGGACTGAATCCTTTATCAAGAAGCAGTATTAGTCCTCCCAGCCAGGAGGGCAGAGGGCAGGAGGGGATGAAGTTGCTTGGTACTGTACCTTAAGAATAGTGTAAGAAGACTTATGCTTCCCGTTCATACCACAAATAAAGTGAACTGTATTAAAGGTCTTGTCACTTTGAATCATGAGAATCAACTTTGCCCAGGTAGATGCTTAAGGTTTAAAAAGGCATTCTTTCATTGTCATAAACTGGTGAGAACACTTAGTAGAGGTAAAATATACCTCAAAAGGTCCAAATACTGATTATCACTAACAAATACCATAAGAGGTAACTTATGTGTTTCGTTATGAATGTCACAAATGTTTTCATCATTCCCTTGGCACAAAGAGAAATACACTTGTCATATAAGCACAATCAGAACAGTAGCAGAATGATAATGTATGGTATGATCCTCATAATTCCTAACACTGTTTATACACTGTCCACACATCTTTACATACATGAGTACTAAGTACATTCACAGATAAATTACAATTTTATACCAGCATCTTCATGATTGGCACACTGTACAAGAAATATCTCATTAAAGGAGAAGCGATAACAAATACTGTTAGTTTTAGTGCCCACAATGGCATCACCTGCACCTTCCTCTCACAGCTGTTGTTTGTATAGCATGTGTTGGTGTTTACACTATACATGAAGGTATGAGAATGTATAGCTAGATGAACTCTATTTTGTATCCCTTCCCCCCTCCCCTTTCCCACACACCAATTTTCATGTTTCATTACAGTATGACCCTAGGATGTTCAGGGATGGAACACAAGGTGGTGATGTGCACTTGGATGGCTAGCAGCAATCATTGTATTTACAGAGGTCAGTAGCATTATATTTAGTATAAAAATATCACTACCTTTCTAAAAACTATTCATGACTAAAGTGAATAATCACGGAGATTTATCAGTCGTAAAAGAATACAGATACAAGGATATTGTCTACAAGCCACGAGTCAGTGTATTTGTTGGCACCTCTGATGAACATGTAAATGTAGAATACTGTACACAAATTCAAGACAATGTTGCTCAGAATGTCCATGAATCACAAGATATTGCATAAAACGGACAAGGTTTGTGATCTTTTTGAGTTACAAAGAATCAAGTTTCTAGAAACTTGACCTTGTCAACAAAATAAAGACTGTCCATCAGTTACATCCTGACCATACTCCTGAAACTGAGTTATATCCTGATTCAGCTCTCAAAAATCCAGAATAGTGGCCCTCATATATGTAATACACACAGAAAGGCTTATTACAGTTCACCATTTCAAAATAACATAGAAGCAAAATACTGTACATTAAGCAACTCGCTCAGCACATTCATGTTAAACGCACTGTTAGTCTCAAGTTCACAGCTCCAAACAAAACCTTCCTTGAGATCATTGAAAATGAGACTGGACAACTAAGCTTTCCATAAAATTGACGATGGCACTAGCATCAAACATCCCCCGGGCAAATCTGGGCAAACAACATTGACTGTACATTGAGTCAACGTTGATAATATTGAGCCGATGTTGATTTGACATTACTCAAAACATATTTTGCCTACTGGGGTCTGTTTCCAGTGATGTAAAGAACAGCCTTACAACATGAGCCTTAGTTCGTTGTTCTCATTACAGTCTTTGGTACAAGTTGCACTACGACCACAAGCCCCTAACGTTGTCCACAGGCAATATTTAAAGACTGGATGAAAATTAGAATAAATGGAAAGTATGATTTCATATCATAACACTTAAGACTTTACAAAATTAGGAACATATAATGAATCATTTTCAAGTGAATTTACATAAATAATTCTGGAATGTCGTTTATGGTTCAATGGGAATGAAGGTCATGAGGAGTTCCACAATGGAGTCATGGACAATGGAATGTCTTTCTCTGTATGTGTAGCTGCTTGACACTGGAAGGAACAATTGCTCAAGTCAATAATTTATTAATTTACGTATGCTATCAATGCCTAGTTTTGCTTAAATTATAAAACAAAAGCTGAAGAAATCAATTAATCCTTAGGCCACGGGGAAGTTGAAGTAATCATGAGAAAATGATCCAGTCAAGAAGGTCAGAAGATAAACAATGTGTTTATATTTGTGTTTATATAAACAAAAAATATAAACAAGATGGAATAAATACAAAGAGATGACATTTGCATGTCATCAGAGGAGCAGAGTTCAGCATTCTGCATATCAGACTTTAGCAGAATTGTGAGTTATGATCAGTAGTTCTTTAAATTTCTAAGAGCAAGGTCACTAACATTAAACAGGACCTTCTTTTTCCAATAAAATACAAGCCTTGTATGACTATGCTTGGCTGTAATTCTTTTGGATACAATACTGTTTACACTGTTCAACAAATAGATGGTGAGATGCATGTAAAATGCCAATGATTACAAAACCTCAACAGGTACATGGCCAAAGGGAAGAATTCTATGTCCATTACATAGTTTTATCTTTAACATCTAAGATAACGCTCATTATATAGGTACATGACAAAATAAGTATTCACTTCCACTGCCAAGACACTGCACTAACGAAGATAAGAATGTAAATACTCTAAACTGGACTAAAGTCTATTCTGTCATAGATGAAGAATAGATTGGCTTGTCCATGGCTGGTCTCAGCATGATGGAACCTTCAACCCATAAGTTAGGACGTTCCAACATCTGTTCCCATAGTCTGACTTCCATCCCAGCTGCCTCCATCCACTCCACAGGTCGGCCTCCGTGTTTACCTATAAACAGTATAAAATATTAATGATCGAGGATATAATTTTACATGAAAACAGTGACAAAGACATTTTAAATGTGCATTACTAATCATAACACAGTGTGTACACACACAAAAAAAATAAACATTGAATAAATAAATGGAACAGATGTGATTTACCAGTTATTTTGTATGGCCCATATAAATTATCTCATTGAATAGATCACTACTTTTGTACAGCATGTACAGAAGAGTGATGTGCTTTGTTTATACAGGCACAGTATATCAATTTTTGAAGCTGTGCTAGTGTGCTACTCCACCACTTGGACTGATCAGACGAAGGACCGTCTTGCTTCCTGCAGGTTCAGTGTTCAATTCCCTTTCGTTTAAGCTGGGTACTGTTCTTTCGCCCAGTCCTGATATTTCTGCGCCTTGTCCTCCTATCCCTTCCAAGTGCTATATATATAGTCATACTAGCTTAACCCTTTCACCAGCTAATTACCATACTTTATAAATATCTTGGGACAATGCCAATACAGTAGATTATTTTATGTTCTTTGTGTGTACAGTATTTTGGTCTCGCTTCATGCAGGTCGGCATTAAATTCCCGACCATCCGAGTGGTTAGGCACCATTCCTTCCACCGTCCCATCCCAAATCCTTATCCTGATTCCTTCTCAGTGCTATAGTCGTAACGACTTGGCACTGTCTCCTGATAGTTCCCTTCTCCTTCCCCTACCATCCATGATGATGGTTGTAGATGTTATCTGACAGGGCCTGGGTAGTGAAAATGATCATGTGCAGTGGTGGTGGTTACGGTGAGAAGTTAATGGGTAAGGAAGATGTAGCCTGCATCACCCCCCCCCCCCCCCCGAGCACTTCCGGGCATCCCCTTCAAGTAGTTATTAGCCTCTTGTGCTGTGTGTGCAATTATATACAACTTGCCTTCTTTAGTCAGTATTTATTATTTGTGGAGATATTATTTTTTGTATTATTATTACTGCTGGCAGTTAGTAAATTTATGAACAGTATACCCAGTAAGTATAGGATACGTGTGTATATCCAGATGATCAAGTGTGTGGGAGGACATAGAGCTCGTTATGTTATTATAGGTGCCCTGTTCTTTTATTTTATTTATTTATATGCAAGAAGGTACATTGGGTTTATGAGAGTATATAGCATTAAATGTTTTACATTCTCATAAAGTCATTGGCATGCATAGCATTTTGGGAAGGTCCTTGATCTATTCAGTTGCTACATCAAACCACTGACTTGCAGATTGCATAGAATTTCACCAATTCTAGACACATCATGTGATAAGAACCGAATTATCTACAATAAAAAAACTTAATCTGTCTTTGCTTCTGAGGAAAGTGCATGCTGCTAGATGAGTTGGTCATCCAATACAAATACTGTACTGAAGCCTTCCCCTTCATCAAAAAAATGTGGTCACACTATGGTCATCAAGAAAATGAACAGCCCATGGAGGAGTAAAAACATCTATACATCAGGTAGGCAATTGTTTCATTGACAGTCATAAGAAATTAGAAACCAGACTTTAGATACTGATGTCAAGCACAATACAGAAAGAAAAGAGTACAACCCCCCATTATCTGGGGGTTGTACTGCTAACCAACCCACAAAATTGGGTGATAATTAAGTAATCAACAGATGAAGTGGATTTTAACTTAGGAGGCAAGCAAATACAGTATGATAGTTTAGAAAGCTATTGATATAAACAGGAAATGGTTCAAAAGTTGGACAAAGATTTAATTTAAAGTTCTAAACACCTGTTCTTTATCTAAAACAATAATGAATTAATGTAATGTCAAAGCTACATCCTATGTTTAAATTATCCTTATCCTTTGTTACTAAATAATGAATAGTACTGCAAAATTGTACCACCTAATGACTGTAGAAATTGGGGAGGATGGTGGATGGGTTACTTACCCTTTCCCAAGCTTAACCGGCATCCCCCAAGAAATTGGGATGTTCCAAGGCGGTCATGGTCCCACACTGACAGTTCTAGAGCACGCTCCGTTAGTTCTTGTAAACTGGTGTCATCAAACATTAACGTGTGATTCCAAGTGGGGTTTAATGTCTTTCGGCACACACTCGTCTTCTGCTTAGAAGCTTTTCCCTTCTCTGGAAGAAGCAGCCTGAAATGGTAGTGAAGGGTTATAACATATGAACTTCAAATGGTATAAAGACAAAATTAAATATAGGCTAAATAATAGTGTAATTGTAAGACTAAGGAGAGTAAGTAATGGTAATGTTTACTCAGACATAGTAACATAAGATAAGAACCCACACGTGTGTATTTGTGAGATTTATGTAAAGAATTTTACAAAAGTCTTTCTCACTCTCCTGAGTGTTTTGGTTAAGGTCTGAGTATGTGGTTAGATCGAGACTTACATCTCGACGTCTAATCAAAACCACATACTCAGACTTTGTAAAAGCACTCAGGAGAGTACCTAAGTTTAGTTACAGGATGAGCTATGCTTGTGATGCCCCGACTTCCCAGCACTCTGTCATATAACGCTTTAAAACTACTGACGGTTTTGCCTGCATCACTTTCTCACCTAATTTGTTCCAACCATCTACCACTCTGGTTGCGAAATTGAATTTTCTTATTTTTTCGGCATCTTTGTTTAGTTTAGCTTAAATGACCTCTTGTTCTTGAAGTTCCAGGTCTCAGGAAATCTTCCCTATCAATTTTATCAATTCCTGTTACTATTTTGTATGTAGTGATCATATCGTCTCTTTTTCTTCTGCTAGTTTTGGCATATTTAATGCCTCTAACCTCTCCTCATAGCTCTTGTCCTTCAGTTCTGGGAGCCACTTAGTGGCATATGTCTTTGCACCTTTTCCAGTTTATGTGCTTCTTTAGATACGGGCACCATACAACCGCTGCATATGCCAGCTTTGGTCTAACAAAAGTTGTGAACAATTTCTTTAGTATTTTGCTATCCATGTATTTAAAAGCAATTCTGAAGTTAGAAAGTGTAGCATAGGTCCCTCGCACAATGTTCTTAATGTGATCTTCAGGTGATAAAAAAGATAGAAAACTTTTTGAGATATATACAAGAGTTGTTACATTCTTGTACAACTTATCTGGAACCACCCCTAGATCTCTTTCTTTATCGGAATTCTTTAAAGATTTCTCACATAATTTATAGGTTGTGTGGGGTCTGTTCTCCTATTCCACATTCCGTAACATGGCATTTATTTACATTAAATTCCATTTGTCAAGTGGTGCTCCATATACTTATTCTTTCCAGGTCTTCTTGAATAGTATGATAATCGTCTAAGTTACTTATCTTCCCTATTATCTCAGCAATCATGTTCATATACAACCCGTTCTCGCAAATTCGTATAGTCAATATTGACTTATTAACTACGTGCATAGGTGATATACTAAACATAATAGATACCCTTAAAAAGCTTCATAGAAAACACCGACCTTACCTAACCTTGTTAGTATCTTAAGATAAGCATCTTATTGCTTCGTAATTACAACTATTACTTAACCTATACCTATAATAGGTTAAGTAACAATTGTAATTACGAAGCTATAAGATGCTTATCTTAAGATACTAACAAGGTTAGGTAAGGTCGGTGTTTTCTATGAAGCTTTTTTAAGGGTATCTATTATGTTTAGTATGTCACCTATGCACTTATTTAATAAGTCAATATTGACTTTACGAATTTGCGAGAACGGGTTGTCATATAATGCTGTATTCCATCTGGTAGATCGTTTATGTAGACAATAAACATTACCGGTGCAAGAGCTAAACCCTGAGATACTCCACTTGTGACATTTCTCCAGTCCGATACACTTCCTCTTATTACTGCCCTCATTTTTCTATCAGAAAATTTTTCATCCATGTTATAAGCTTACCTGTCACCCCTCCAATGTGTTCCAGTTTCCAGAACAACCTCTTATGAGGAACTCTGTCAAAAGCCTTTTTAGGTTGAGTCCATCTGGGCCAACTGCTTTGTTCTTACTTAGCTCCTTGAGCATATTTTCCACTTCATCTCTAGACACCTCTATGTGCTATGTTGTTCTCTGGAATTCTAATTGTCTGGTTCTCTGAAGATTTCATTTTGTACAAACACACTTTGGAACTTTTCGTTTAATGTTTCACACATTTCCTTTTCATTTTCCATGAATCTGTTTCCCATTTTCAACCTCTGAATATTATCCTTTACCTGCAATTTGTTTATGAATTTGTAGAATAGGCCTGGTTTTGTTTTACATTTGTCCACTATTCCTTTTTCAAAATGTCTTTCTGCCTCTCTCCTCACTGCTTTGTAGTTGTTTCTCGCATCTTTGTATCGCTGGTATGTTCGGGGGTTTGGCCTCCTCCTATATTGATTCCATTTTTGTCTCTTTTTGGTCTTTGGCCTTCTCGCAATTTCGGTTGAACCAATCCTGTTTTCTGGCTCTGCATCTCTGCTTTGGTATGAATGTTCGTGCGCCTTCATCGTATATTTTGCAAAATTTGGCATACATTTAATTTACGAGAGTGCGAAAGACTTGGTGTAATTTCGTTACATAAATCTCTCAAACACACAAGTGTGGGTTTTTATCCTAAACTAAAAAGAGTACGTGTATTTAGATGGTGTTGTCAAAGTGAACAAATGAAAGATGTGATAGGCTTTTGACTTGCTTAACTTAAATACTGAACATAATTAGGGACTTTCTTAAGCCTGTAAGAAATAGGCTAAGCGTGTAAACCTATAAAATGTGGAACTCGATACAAGAAACTATCTTTATGCTTTTACAAGGATTAAAATACTGTAAAGATATAAATCATGGTGGGATTTATAAAAAAAAATGAAACAGTCAGTAATCAGAATTTAATTAATTAGGCTTTCTGAGCAAGACACTTGGATACCCTTGTTCTCTCCCTCGAGGACCCGATTCTCTTGTGAGCTGTTTTCTTGTGACATCGCAAGTGATAGAACTTGAGCCATGGGACCTGGTGTCAAGGCAGTGCTATGTGGCGACAGTAGAGGGTAATGGCCATTTGGGACACTGGTGGTTGGGTCAGCATATAACTTGACTGTTCCTGTGGTGCCAAGCAAGGCGTGAAAGGGCTTTGCGTGTTTATGGGTGTAAAGTACATTTTATGGTCACTGCACACTGGATTTAACTCTTATTCAGTGCCTCCATCACCAGTATGACCTTGCAGGGGGGTGTTGACAACTCCCTTTGTGCTGGAGTAAAAGTCACCTTGAATTGGCTGCTGTATCATATACCTGTCCACATATGGGACATTTAGTGAGCTTGCTTTAGGGGAGCCTCTGCCCAGTGGACGCAATATTCAAGAGTAACGTAGATTCAACGTTGAAGGGTTATCAACGTTGATACAATGTTGAATTAACGTCCTCTTGGATATTGTGTCCACTGGGTGAATGAATGTTCAGGAAGAAGGTTTTGAGCGAGTATGAAAGCTGGTTGTGTGTGTGTGTTTAAAAAAATGATCCTAGTATAGTATATACTGTAATAATAATCTTAATTGTATAGTACATATATTGTACAGGTACAGAACAGCACATACCCTTTGCAGATAGGGTCGGCTGTACCATGCGGTTTTGCTGAAGCTAAGCTTTTGGCCTCTTTCACTAGTACATGGAGAGCGCCTCTAGACCGGCGGCTCTTCTTGGTAGTAACTGCGTCTGGCGGGACAAACTTGAGCGCTAAGATTAAGTCTCCTCGAGGACTGTAACTAAGGTCTTCCATTGGATCCATCTGCCAAGAGAAATGTCTCAATTAAAAACTTTATATTAATTTGCTTTTATTGATTATGTTTAATAAAATAGATACTTTGCTCTAATAGTGTTAAATATTTATTTATATATATATATATATATATATATGCAATTGACGATCACAAAACACTGATCATTTTATGCGGAAAATCCACAGAGAAATATGAAATGAGGTGAACGTTTCGGCTTTGTTAAAGCCTTTAGGCTTTAACAAAGCCGAAACGTTCACCTCATTTCATATTTCTCTGTGGATTTTCCGCATATATATATATATATATATATATATATATATATATATACTGTATACAAGAAAGTACAATGGGTTTATGAGAGTACATAGCATTGATGCTTTTACATTCTTGTAAAGCCATTAACACGCGTAGCGTTTCGGGCAGGCTATGCAGTAGCCATATTATATACAGTAAAGTATTACAGTACTGTATTAATATTGTTCAAGCCAATAAATTGATGTTAAAATAATAGCATAGTGGTGTGTGTGTGTGTACTCACCTATTTGTGCTTGCGGGGGTTGAGCTTTGGCTCTTTGGTCCCGCCTCTCAACTGTGTGTGTGTGTGTGTGTGTACTTACCCTGTCTTGTAAAGAATACCACTTGGGGGAGACGTCGTCAAAGACAGTGTCGGCCAGCGAGATGACAACTTCTCCCAGGAAGTCATTGCGGCCGAACATGTCACTGTGCCAGACTGAGACCCACAGTGTGCGCGACTCCAGGTCACTCATCGTGGTGCTGAACTGTTGGGCGGGACCGTAAGGAAGAGTTATATGGTAAGTATTCACCTCAACGATATTAACTACTTACACTTGTCTTAATTCTTGGCAAGTTTATTACACTTACTACTATTTAGTGAAGTCTGTAATTAAACAGTTTTTTTTTTAACAAGCTTACAGTAATTTATGGAAACTAATTATTTTGCAACAATTGGTAATGTTTATTTAGACTAGGGGGTTGCCAACTTTGTTTTACATCAGTCGCCACTTTTGCCAGAAAATCTGTATTGATGTCCCACCACCTCCCTCATTTTATCTTCACTCTTAGCCATGGGGTTCCCAATATTTATACAAGTTTACTTGAAATAAAACATATTTTGCAATAATGATTTTATTTTATTAGTGACTTAACAACACTAAGAGGAAAATGTATGAATTTATTTTCAAATTCATATACTTCTCTCAAAGATAAATACATTTGGTCTGTTCTGTCTGTTCCTCGTCCCATCCCCCCCCCCTCCCTTCCTAGAATATCCAAATCACCACCTCAAATAATTTGGGAACCCCCTGGTCTAGAAAATAGGCTCGAGTACTCATATGTTAAATAAATGTAATATTTGATTACATTATTTTAGTATTGGAGTATATTCACAGAACTTGAGAGTAGTACCCTGTACTTGTAATACCAGCATATCTAATGAGTATATTCTTATATTATATTATATTCTTATATTATATTATATTCTTATATGAGTATAATAATTCAGTTGAAAGTTACATTGACACAAAGCAGACTCGTTTTTAAATTTGCAACAGGCTATAGAACATGACTGTACTTGAGGTTAAATATTTCAGATAATACAGGCGTGTTCTAGGAATTCAGGAAACAGTGTATCGAAGATACAGTGTAACTTTCCCCCAACAACATTATTTGCCAATATTCGTACTGTCCTGCTATCTTACACGATGTCCAGTACAATGATCTCTGCTCAAACAGGTCTTATGGCTCCAAACTAATGCTAATGCATCCAATCATCGCCATTTATCACTACTTTCCTGGGAAGGGGACGTCTTGGTGGCTTCTAGAGCTTACTTCTGGTAATATTAAGTCTTAGCCCAACACAAGAGCCTTTGGAGATTCTTCCGTTGCCTACCAGGAGTCAGGACCAGAGCCCGGGTTACTTACCAAGGCGGAGAGAGCAGGGGATCAGAGATTAACCACAAAACTGGGAAAACCCATCAGAAAGCATTGGTGCAACAAATGACTGCTTGAAGGATATTAGTCAACGCTCAGTAAACGAGGCCAACAATCATTGTTGCAGGGTAACTTCACCTGACTACCATCAAATACAAACAAATACAAATTTTTATTCAGGTAAAGTACATACATACTAGGTAAGATACAAAAGTTGATGGATTTATATATAGAGGTAGTACATACAATGCCTAAAACCACTATTACGCAAAGCGTTTCGGGCAGGAACGCCACGCCTAATCAGATGGCAGCCCAAGTCACCTGAGGTCTGAGTCAGCCTTCACTTCATTATTTTCTCTGGTGTAGCCCATCATCTGTAGCTATGTTTGCCCCTGGGCTCTCTGCTCCTCCCATTCTTCTCCCAAATTCAAACAAGTTTATTGATGTATAAATACACACCAAATTATTCTCCCACAAGTAAGCCTGGGCTGACCTGTTCCTTATCCTTCATGCATTTAAGCGTTGTTATATTTAAGCCATGTAAACTTACTATTACTATAATTATTACAGAATTATCAATGCAGGAGCGACACAATCGACTTGAGAATGGTCCAGGACGGACCGAAACGTCGTCGTCCCTGCACCTTCTAGTGCAGGGACGTGATGTGTGACCTTCTAGTGTGATGTCTGGTCAACATCAATGCAGGAGTTTTGGTATGATAGCAAATATAATGTAAGCTAAGTATCAACAAACTTGTGTTAGTATAGAGTACTGGACGGAGCGTAAGATCTTACCCGCAACACCTCCTCGAAGATGGGATTAAGGGTGTGCTTCTTCACTTTGGTTTTCCTCTTGCCACTCTTAGACTTGTCGGGGAGAAGATAGACTTTGACGTACCTGGGGATAGATGTAAGTTACAACCCAACTTAAATAGCTTAACTGTTCAGTCAAATACATCCATCACATTCAGAAATGCCACGAGAGTAGTCCCGAGCAATTGAGAGGGTGAACAAATCCACAAGAGCCCTGATGAGGGTTCGAACTTACGTCCAAGAGGAACTACTTAAGAATTAAGATTGTACTTGCACGGAATAATTAATTACTAAGAATTAGGTGAAGGGTAAGAAAAATTCAACACTACCAGTCACCCCCGCCCCCCCCACTGTCCCCCACAACACTACCAGTCACCCCCCCGCCCCCCCCCCACTGCCGCCCACAACACTACCAGTCACCCCCGCCCCCCCCCCCCACTGCCCCCCACGACATTACCAGTCACCCCCGCCCCCCCCCCACTGCCCCCCACAACACTACCAGTCACCCCCGCCCCCCCCCCACTGCCCCCCACAACACTACCAGTCACCTCCGCCCCTCCCCACTGCCCCCCACAACACTACCAGTCACCCCCGCCCCTCCCCACTGCCCCCCACAACACTACCAGTCACCCCCGCCCCTCCCCACTGCCCCCCACAACACTACCAGTCACCCCCGCCCCTCCCCACTGCCCCCCCACGATATTACCAGTCACCCCCGCCCCTCCCCCCCACTGTCCCCCACAACACTACCAGTCACCCCCGCCCCTCCCCACTGGCCCCCACAACACTACCAGTTACCCCCGCCCCTCCCCACTGCCCCCTCCCCCACAACACTACCAGTCCCCCCGCCGCCCCCCACAACACTACCAGGCCTCCCCCCACAGGGGAGGGGAGCCGAGGTACTGGGGGTCATGGACAAGGTCGATAAAGACATGAACGACGCACACGCCGCCTGTTGGTTATGATGGCTCCCCCACACCCACCTGTGGCGCCCGCACGCCCAGCTGCCGTGTACCTGTGGGGGTGTGGGGGGCACTGACCCCCCTCGACCCCAGTCCCCCCGCAGACCCCAGCACCCGCAGACCCCAGCACCCGCAGACCCCCCCAAAGGCACATTCGTCGCAGTAACACACCTCAAGGTGGTGTCCTAAGCCCTATGCTCTTCAATATACTTATGCACAAACTTATCCATGACATACCTGTACAACCTACGGAAACAGTTATATGTTATGCTGATGATATTTGTATTATGGCACACAGTAAACCAAGGCTACAAATGTTACTTGATGCATTCTCCAAGAAAGTAGTAGAATGTGGCCTCATAATCTCTGTTGATAAAACAAGGGTTCTTATTCCCCATTCTCTTCATGCTAACTATACTATTAATGGAGTGCCCGTGGAGACTTGTGAGTCTTATAAATATCTTGGAGTCGAGGTTAATGATACAAATCTCATCAGCAACCTGCGTAAAAAACTTGTTGAGCGTCTTAAACCTCTCAGAACTCTTGTTGGCAAAGGATTTGGCATTAACATAAAATATGCTCGTAGTTTTTATATTGCCTTTATACGATCTGTTGTTGATTATTATGCCTTGCATCTTCTTAATTTTTCTCCTAAACAATTACAAGGCCTAGATGTAGTACAGAATGATGCCATGCGCATCATCCTGGGTTGTCCTAGAACTGTCAGAATTGTTAACATGAGAAAGGAACTAAACTTACCTTCCATTTACGAAAGAATAGTTCTACTTAGTACTATGTTTTGCGCCAAAACTTTGAAAAATAATGGTCCCCCCAGCTCTATTCAAATTAAATTGAGATCCATTCTAAACAATTCTGACTGTTCCCTCAATCCGCCGCAAAAAGCTCCCTACAGTGTGTGGCTTAGTTGTTGTGCCTATAATCTTCAGAAACTGAATGTATCTCTTAACCCTGATAAAACTGTTCACTATATTCCCCCTTGGAAAGATGTGGAGGTCTCTCTGCATTATACTCCCATCAGTGTAAAACAAATGTATAACACTGACATTTTGAGATGTATAACATTAGAAGCTATTGACAGTCATCTTCAAATTATATTAAATGGAATGTAATTTTTGCCAATGATAATAATTCTTGTATAAAATTTGTGTGGATCCCATCCCATGTTGGAGTTGAAAAACATGACTTTGTAGATCAATTGGCCAATGAGGCTTGCAGGAAAGAAAACATTGATTATGACTTTGGACTATCTAATGCAGTTATTAGAAACATACAAATTAAAGAAATTAATTCAGATTTAGAAGAACTAAGAAATGCACAGAGACCTGAAAGCTGCAGTATTAAAAGTTATGACAAGTTCTGTAATAATAGGTATTTGTATGGTCAGCACAGTAACCGGACCAGGCAATGTGATGTAGTAATTGCGCGAATTCGCCTTGGCTATAGACACATCTGGCAGGTTAGTGAGGCTGAGCCACTACCAGAATATTCAGATTGTAAACTCTGTGATAAACCTTTAATGCACTCACTAGAACACTATATTGATGAATGTGAAACCGTAAAGGACTTTAGACCTCCTGGCCTATTGTACCACCAACTGTGTAACTATTTTATTGACTCAGGTGTTCTGGACGACATCCTAACAATTTACCCAAAATTTGCTTGTCCATTTTAAAGAATGAAGAACAATTTCTATTTATACTCTAAGCTGCATCACTTATGAACCCATCCCTGCCCTTGTGTGGCAGTGCACAATAGAAAGTTGTTGTCACATATTCACACATTAAAACATTGATTGTAACCGTGATATATATGTGCTTCAGCCTACAGTTTAGACCTATTGTCTTATGTATGACCCTCTGTCCTGCGTGACAGTGAATACTAGCATTAACCTCAATTTAATAAGACTATCAAAATCCTCAGATTAGGCAAAATTGTAATTAATTTTGTCAATAAAGATGTTAATAATAATAATAAGACTGTTGGAGGTCACGCTCGTTAGCAGGTGGGCAGTGGTACGGTAGTTAGTTAGCAGTCGTACGGTAGTTAGAAGTGGTAAGGTAGTTAGCAGTGGTAGGGTAGTTAACAGTGGTATGGTAGTTAACAGTGGTACAGTAGTTAGCAGTGGTACGGTAGTTAGCAGTGGTAGGGTAGTTAGCAGTTGTTGTATGCTGCTATAGGAGTGGTGGTGGCGGTGGTGCTTGTTAAATGCTAGGTATTGTTTAGTGTTATTTGTACTAATGGTAGTTACAGTATTAACATGATCAATAATTAGGACAATATTAATAATACAATAACAATGGTTAAATAAGCCCTTCAATGCACATTAAACACATGCACTGTCGACCCAAGCTCTCGTTACATACTAAAATTGATGACGCTAAGACAAACTGCGCATAAACAGCACTGTACATGAATGTTAATACATTAGCTAAACCAATAAACACACGATCAGCTGACTCTGTAAACACACGATCAGCTGACTCTGTAAACACACGATCAGCTGACTCTGTAAACACACGATCAGCTGACTCTGTAAACACACGATCAGCTGACTCTGTAAACACACGATCAGCTGACTCTGTAAACACACGATCAGCTGACTCTGTAAACACACGATCAGCTGCACAGGTAGACAATGTACGGCCAACCAACAAATAATTTTCAACACACAGCTGAGTGGTTGAAAAACTGCACAGGAATAATAATGTGCGCTGAGCACCACAAAAAAAACCGTTTTCAGTTCATGGGAAAGCGAAACGAATTATCTACAGCTGGGAAATGTGTTCTCAGAAAATGAACACGAAAGTGTACACAAAATTAATTTACAGTCACCGAGGCGGACCCCGGGAGCTGAAGTAACACGTGAAACGGACAAGAAAATATATAACCCGATTTAACTTAATTCGCAAATATATTTATAGACCAAATAAATGAAGTAAAAACAAACGTAAAGGAGAACCCATAAATAAAATAACAATTTCCCCGCCAAAACCAACAATTTCCCCGCCAAAACCAACAATTTCCCCGCCAAAACCAACAATTTCCCCGCCAAAACCAACCGGGGTTGCAAGTTGGCAATTGCAAGAGCCGGACTGTATTTGTCATCATTAATAATACACGATCTAGGTACACACACGTCGGGTCTGTGAGGGTTGATGGGGGAGGAAATGTTTCAGTCGCCTCGGTCACGGGATCATTTAATTCCCACTCTATTGCGCGGGGAAGAAAATGTTCCAGCGAGGATCGAGAAGTAGATGAAGACAAACTGTGGAAGAGCTATTTATTATTGGTGAATGGGAGACCATGCGTTCGCCTGCATTGATTAACCTTTGCAGTGATGGTTGTCCCTCCCGTCCCCCTTCCCTGCTGCTAAGGTACTCCCCCTTTCCCTCTCTCCCCTTCCTGCCTACTACCATTTCTCCCCTCTCTCCAATACTCTCCAGCCCCTCCCACTGCCCACGTTTCACAAGCCATCGTCTCTGTTCCACCTCGCCCCGTCCTCCCTTCCATCTACCGGTACTCTTTCGCTCATCAACTCAACTTTACGAATTTACAGCTCGAGGTGACAGCTTCAGGCGGCTGGCAAAACTTCCCTCCAAACTACGCGTGCGGCCAGTAGACGGCGCCCGCGCCCCGCCACCAGTGACCAGCGTGCTCCAGAAGCCCGCGGGAACCACCGGGAACCACCGGGAACCACCACCACCACCAGCCGGCGTCCAGAGACCTCGCACGTCATAATGAACGACAAGATCAGGAGAATGTTAAGAAGAGCGTGAAAGACTTAAGATCCCCTCCTCCCTCTCCGACCTATCAGACAGGGACAATGATGTATACGACTTTAACTGCATTGTTCTCGACTAGCAATCGGGAATCCCGGCTTCGATTTCTGGGAGTGATAGAAATGGTTGGGCACATTCCTTTCGCCTAATACCTGAATTTACCAGAGGGGTTACTATATCTCTAGTGGCCTCGACGACGACAGGAGGCCATCGGCTTGTCAAAGATTCTCAACCCATTTGCCTGATGATTTTCTCTAGCACTAAATAGGTACCCGGGATTTAGGCAACTGTTGTGGAATTGCATCCTGGAGGTGCGCTGGTAGTCTGTCCTTCAGGGGACCTGGATACAAGACA